TGGCGTTCCAACTCGGTACCGGACAAGTACCCCCCCCTCCCTCCCCCCCTCCCCTTCCGCCCTCATGCCGAACTGGACTCACTCTAGGAGGAAAACAGAGTACGCGACGTATACGCTGCTGTTTCAGTCGATGTTGATGCTGCCGTGCATGGCGTACTTGTCCGCTGCTTTTCCTGATTGGTCGCTCTTCTTCCTCACTTCGGGAACAGGCCCCCTCTCTCCGCTCTGGCTGGCGCTGTTGCTGGTCGGCATGGTCCTCTCATCGCTTGCAGGCTTTGCAAGAGTCTGGTTCCGCATGCGCGACTCGAGGAACTGGTTCCAGCTCATCGCCATCCACGATGAGTGGATCCTGGCCTACGTCGTCACCTTTGCTCTTGTCGGCCTCTCGCACACCCGCATTCTCTTTGCCGGCTCATCGGAGCAGTTCTGGGCCGGCGAAGAGGCCGGCTTTGCACTCTGGTTCTCCTCGCCGCAGTTCTACACCCTCCTGGGCATGGCGCTTCTGATGGCGCCTGCTGTCATCTATCCGCTCCTGGTCTGGCCGGCCCACAATGGCGACCACGTCCCGCACACGTACTCGATTGCCGTCATCCGCCGCGTGGCCCGGACCGGCGGCTGGGCCCTCCTCACCTGCATCCTGGTCTATGTCCTCGGCGCCCTAGTCTACGCCTCGGCCCGTCCCCACTTTACCCTTACCACTCCGCAGCTCTGGTCGCCGCTCGTCGGCCTCCTGGTGGCCGAAGTCGTCGGCCTCTTTGGCGTCACCGTCCTCACCATCTTTCCGCTCTCTTGCCGCAAGTTTGTCCACTTTGACTAACCTCTACTCGCCAGCGGTGCGCGGCCGATGCCGGAGCCAGGCGCCAAACTCTTCGATGCCTGCGAGCTGGACGTGCGCCAGTGGCGACGGCTCGACTGCGACCGTCACGCACCCTGCGGCCTCGCCGGCGAGCATGTCGTACCGCGTATCGCCGACCATCAGACACTCGGAAGTGTCCAGCCCGAGCTGCGCCGCGGCATAGTCGAGCATGTCGGTGTGCGGCTTACCACGGAGCTTGCGCGCTCCACTCGCGCGCGGGCTCAGCATTTGAGTCGCCGGCACAGCCTCGGCGCCCGAGCACGCCACCACACTGAACGTCGACTCGAGCTTGGCTGCCTGCAGGATGAGCTGGGTAATAGCTGCCGGGCAGTTGGTGACGAGCCCGACCCGCGAGCCAAACAGCGCCACTGCGGCGTCGACCGCCTCCAACGCCCCATCCAGCACCTGAAGCTGGTCGAGGTACTCGCCGTAGTGCGCATTGCAGTAGGCGGTCACGGCGGAGACATCGGCCCCCGGCATAAACACCTCGACGTTCTTCTCCATCGGCTGGCCAAACACGCCGCGGTAGGCCTCGCGGTCGACGCCGTCCTTGTAGCCCATCTCCTTCGCGCACGCATCCAGCAGCGTCGCCCAGATGCCAAACGTCTCCACCAGCGTACCGTCCATATCAAAGAGCACGCCAAGGATCTTGACATCGCCATCGCTGCCTCCCTCCTCCACCTCCCGCACTTGGCCATCGTCCCCCTTTGTCGATGCTGGCACAACCACCACTCGCTTGGCGCCCATCTCCATAGCCTTGCTCACCAGCACTGGCCGCGACACGACCGCCTTCACCAAGCCCACCGCTGCCGCCGCAAACGCACCCACGCCCAATCCCAAGACACCAGCACCAACCACAATGCCCACTCGCCCACTCCAGCTCCTGCTCAGCTGGCCAAACGACGGCACCATCTTGCTTTGCCGCTCTCACGTCGAGTGTTCCCTCTCCCACGTCCCCGACTCGTGCCGCCGGCCCGCTCACCCCGCCTGCCCCAGCTCTCACTTGCTGCTGCCTACCGCACCCCGGATCGCGTGTGAGGAGGCAGGCTGTCGATGCCAATGTCCACCTCCGTAGGCGACCGATGTCCACCCAACCTCCATCGGCAGCAGCGCAGGCTGCGATACGTTCATACCTTCATTGGTCATGGCTCTCAGCTATCAAGCTCGGGCCCGCATCACTAGTTGATGGCCGCGAGCTGTGCGATGTAGCCTCGATGTGCGATGCAGGTTCGAGAGGAGGGGGATGTAGGCAGGTACCCAGATCATCCGCTTGGATGAGAGCAGAGAGGCCTCACGCTTCCGCATCCTGTCCTCTAGTACGGCGGGGACGTCCATCTCCTCCGGGAGCATGAGGTAGCGGATGAACTTGCCGGAGAGATAGGTTGCGCCAAGATGCAGGGCCGATGGCGGCGGGCCGGGCGAGGGTGAGCCATCCGAGGTACAGGTAGCACCCGCCAGAGCTTCTTGCCATTGCCAAGCTTCGACAAAGTGCATGCCCATGGTCGATTCCACAGCAGAGACCCTTCCTCGGAGTACCGTCCCCAACACCGTCTCCACCTCGACCACTTGCCCCACGAGGCCTTCAAAGAGCACCACAAGGGTCTTCTCATATCTCTTGAGCTTGACTCCCGTACCCATATACCCTTCCTCTATCCAAGAACACTCGTCCTCCCTCCCGGCGCGAGCTGTCTCTACCCTTCTCGTCGCTTCTCCCGCTCCCTCGCTCCTCCCCGCAAGACAAACACGGCGACCGCATCGTCCGCCACCAGCCAATCATGCTCGACCTCGCCACTCTCCGCCACTCTCCACAATCCGTGGAACACTCGCTGGCTGCCCGCGGCTACCCGTCACACCTGCTCGATGACGCTCTAGCTGCCGATGCTGCCGTCCGTGGAGAGAAAGCACGCGCTCAAGAGCTACGGGTGTCGGCCAAGGCGCTCCAGGCCGACATCGCGGCGGCGTACAAGAGCAATCGCCGCGAGGCTGCTTCTGAGCTGGTCGCAGAGAGACAGGCGCTCAAAGACGAGCTTGCCGCTCTAGACGCGAGCTTGGCCGAGCATCTGGCCGCCCGAGCTGCAGCACTCGCCGCCATCCCCAATCTGGTCGACACAGAGGTGCCGGCAGAGCTGACAGTGGTTCGCTCGCTTGTCGCCTCCCGCGACTCGGGCTACCTCGCGCCGACTGATCTCCATCGCCACCACGTCCTCCTTCACATGATCGGTGGTGCCGACTTTGCCCGCGGCGCCAAAGTCGCCGGCTCGCGCGGCTATTTCTTGTGCGGGCCGGGCCTGGCGCTCAATCGCGCTTTGGCGTCGTACGGCCTTGCCTTTCTCGCCGAGCGCGGCTTTGCTGCACTCGCTCCGCCGCTCATGATGGCCGATGACATGCTGACTCGCGCCGGTCAGCTCGGGCCAGCTGCCGAGGCTGCCTTGTTCACGCTCAGCAATCGCCAGTCGCTCATCCCGTCGGCGGAGCAACCTCTAGCCGCTCTCCATGCCGGCGAGCTCCTCGACGCCGATCTGCTCCCGCTCCGCTACGCAGGCTTCTCGCAGTGCTTCCGTGCTGAGGCCAGCGAGCGGAGCGCGTCGGGCCTGTACCGAGTCCACGTTTTTGACAAGGTAGAGCAGTTTGTCATCGCCGCCTCGCAAAGCGACGCGCGTGCCGAGCTGGACTCGATGGTCGACATCGCCCTCGAATTTTACGCTTCGCTCGAGCTCTCGACGCGGCTCGTCGCTATGCCAGCGGCAGACCTTTCGCATGCGGCCGCGCTCAAGTTTGACATCGAAGCCGAGTTTGCAGCCGCGCCCGAATTCGCGCCCGACCGATGGGGCGAGCTCGTCTCGGCCTCGTCGTGCACCGACTACCAGGCGCGCGCTCTTGACGTTCGGACCGTGCCGTCACGTAACCACGTACACATGATTAATGCCACCCTTGTCGCCACCCATCGAACTCTCTGCGCGCTTCTCGAAGCATGGCAGACTCCCACAGGCATCTCTGTCCCACCAGTCCTCGCGCCGTACCTCATTCCGCCCTTTGCCGGGTCAGCGGAGCTGCCGTTTGTCCACCTCCCGTTTGATCCCGTTGGTGCGCCGCCGTCATCGCTTCCGGTCGGCAGCCTACAGTGACGCGGCTGTATCACGAAGTTGTGCGACGCGAGACAGCCCGCATCAGAAGGTGTACCCCGTTCGGCGTCACGCCCTCGATCGCCGCAGCCTCAGCGAGCGTCGCCGGCCGGACCATACTGAGCTTCTCGCGCTCCTCCAGCGAGAGCTCAGTCAGCGTCTCGTACTCGAGCCACTCGGGAATCCGCAGGCCAGTGGCGGCGGTCATTGACTCCACCCGCGCAGCCTCGCGCGCAAGGTAGTGCTGGTACCGACCGCGGATGCCGACCCGTGTGGCAGCCGCGCCGCTCAATGCCGAAGCGTCGTGGTCGAGAAGCTCAATCACTCGCTCGGGCACCATGCCGGGCAACGCGGCATTGACCGCCGCCACCAGCGCCTGTACGTCTGCGCCCGGCCGGTCGAGCATCGCTGCCAGTGACCGCCGCACCCCGTCTTGTGCCACCGCCATGCCCAGCCTCGTTGACCATTCGTACGGCGTCAGTGCTACGCTCTCGTCGAGGAGCGCCCACAGCTCGGTCGCAGTTTCCTCGACACGGGCAGCACGCGCCGCTCGCACACTGCTCACCCCTGGCCCGTCGCGCGAGAGCCGCGCGTCGGCGGTGTCCGGCCGCAGCGCGAGCCGGAACTCGGCCCGCGATGTCAGCATCCGGTACGGCTCGGTCACGCCCTTGGTGATGAGGTCGTCGATGAGGACGCCGACGTAGGCGTCGGCCCGCGAGAGCACGTATGGCTCAAACGGGGGACCAGCTCTGCTCAGCGCCCGTCGCCCGGCGTTGAGCCCGGCAATGACGCCCTGCGCCGCAGCCTCCTCATAACCGGTCGTCCCGTTGATCTGGCCGGCAAGGAAGAGGCCCGCCACGAGCCGCGTCTCCAGCCACGGCGTCAGCGCCTTGGCCGGGTTCACGTAGTCGTACTCGACCCCGTAGCCTGGGACAAGAATGTCAGCACGCTCCAGCCCCGCAATGGTACGCACCAGCTTCTCCTGGACCTCGAGCGGCAGTGCGTTTGAAATCCCGTTGGGGTACACCACGTCCGAGTCAATGCCCTCAGGCTCGAGCCACACCTGGTGCGCAGCCTTGTCTGGGAACCGGTCGACCTTGGCCTCGAGCGAAGGACAGTACCGCGGGCCGACGCCGGCGCCCTCGCCAGAGAGGTACACCGGAGACAGCTCCATGGCGCCCGCTACCACCGCATGCGTCGCCGCGTTGGTGTGGGTCATATAACACTTGATGGCCTCGTCGCCAGAGACGAGGCTACAGCCCGACGAGAGAAACGAGAATGGGACTGGCGGCTCATCGCCCACCTGCACCGCTAGGCCGTCAGTCACGATCGAGTTGGCCGCCAGCCGCGGTGGCGTCCCGGTCTTGAGCCGCGCAAGCGGCAGCGCAAGCTTCTCTTCCAGCGTATGTGCCAGCCCAATCGCCGGTGCCTCCTGGGCCCGACCTGCCGGTCGCGACTCGCCGCCAATGTGAACAACACCGCGAAGAAAGGTGCCTGTGGCGAGGACAACCGTCGGTGCAGCAATGACCGAGCCGTCGCCGAGGACCAGACCCTCGACCCGCTTGCCATCAGCGGACAGCACAATGTCCTCTGCCGACGCTTCAACAATTCGCAGCCGCTCTGCATACCGATCATCCTCTGCCAGCACTCTCCATACACCTTCCTTGTACCGATCACGATCCATTTGCGCCCGTGGCCCATGGACAGCCGGGCCCTTTGACGCGTTGAGTACCTTGAACTGAACACCGCCGTGATCAGCCGCCAGACCCATGATGCCGTCCAGCGCATCGATTTCCCGAACAAGCGCACCTTTGCCAATGCCGCCAATGGAAGGATTGCACGACATGACGCCGAGATCCGCCCGGGACCGACTGACAATGACTGCCGACGCGCCAACCCGTGCCGCCGCCGCCGCCGCCTCCAGCCCTGCGTGCCCGCCACCCACAACCACAACATCGGCAGAGCTTGGAACGGTCTCTGCTACAAGTGCGTCACACACGCCACGTCTCCCGTCCACCATCATCTTGCCCATACGCCGTGCTCCTGCTGCTGTGGCTGTCGCCACCGCCTGCCGCCATGGCCAATGTCGTCGGCGGAGCATGGTGGTGAGATGAGTCGAGTGACCGGCAGACTCGCCGTTCGCCCGCCGGCCGAGCGAGCCACCCGCCCACCCATCCGCCCACCCACTTGACCCCTTCCAAAGGTACGATGTGATCTTCTCCCACCCCAGCCCCCTCCCTCATTCGCTCTTGCTTGCACCTGCTACTCATGGCGCGCGATCGGTGTATGTGTGTATCTATGTATGGGTGGGTGGGTGGACACGGTGGGGGGGGGGGGGGTGGCGGGTGCGCGATCGATCGCCAGTGACATGCGACGGGCGAGACGGATTGGGCGACTGCGGACGCGGGCGCCGCTTCCTGTGCCAGTGCCCGCCAAGCGACCATACCACGTTCCGCACATGATCAACCTTTCGTTCACATCGAGCTCTTCAAGCTCGTCGAGTTCGAGCGCTAGCTGCACGCCGCCAAGCTCGCCGTCGCCGAGGCGGGGCGGCGGTGATCACGGCGGTGATCAACCAGGTTCAGGAAAAAGCCGCACATTCCTCAGCTCCGAGCCGAGTCCGGTAGCAATTCTACTCGAGCATCGGACAACGGGTGGGCTGGCTCCTCGCCTCCGGCGGTCGACTCGTCTCAAGCGAGCTGCACACCGGGCTCCACCGCCGCCGTCTTCGTCGTCGCCGCTCTTCTCGAGCGACCTTGTCGACGAGAGCGACGATGATGCGGACAGTGACGATCAGGCCGGCCGTCCGTGGCCGTGCCACCCACACTCGTGGACCCGTCCTGCCCACAAGCTGGCGTACCTGGACCTCTGCCGCGCAGTGACCGAAGCCCGCGCAGCAAGGATCGCCCGCGCCGAGCACTACCGGAGGCGGTTTGGGACCGGGCTTGCCGAGGAGGCATAAACTGCAGTCAGTCGGACCACGAGGCAAACGAGCCCGCGCCCGAGTCCGAGTCGGGGCTTGAGACCGACGCCGACGCCGACGGCAGCGATGGCAGTCGTTGCGGTGCAAGGCGCGACGGCTTGAGATGTCTGTGTGATGATGGCGAGTGCCTCGCCCGTCGCTTGCGGACCTTGCGGATCTTGCGCCGGCGGCCTGCAGACGCCGAGCCGGCATCGGGTGCAGCAGCTGGTGCTGGTGCGGGAAGCGGGTGCTGGAGCCGCGCGCACGCCCGGACAATGGCCTCCGAGTAGTAGACGCCAGCAAGCGAGAGTATGAAAAGAAGCCACACCGGGATGGTGCGCAGCGCGAGCCAGGTGGCGATGGCGCCGAGCACAAGGCAGAACGAGCGGACACGATCGACCGAGCGGTCGAGGACGGTGACCGGGGCCGGCGCCGGGAGCGACGGCGGCAGCGGGACGCGCGGCACACGCTCGTGCCGTGGCAGCGCGAACGAAACGACTGTGACCTCGTCCTCAGAGGACATCGGAGGCGTGGCAGCCGTGAGGCGGACGGTCGGTGGCTGGGGCAGAGAGTGAGGCGCGCGAGAGTCGCCTGGGCCCTGCTCGCCTGCGGCAGTCCTCCGATACACCAGCCAAAGCTTGAGCGCATGGGCCACCGCCACCGCGCCGAGGACCTGTGCAAAGCGCTTGGCAGCCTGCAGTGGGAGCGAGAGGGCGGCCAGGAGCGGCGAGTGCGGTGTCTCCCGATGCCAATGGCGCAACGCTGACGAGGGATGATGATGACCGATGGGCGAGGTGACAGAGCTCGGCAGGGCAGGCGGAACGTTGGCACGAGTCGGTGCGTCCAGAGTTGATCCCTGCCTCGAGAGCAGCGGCGGAGTGGCGGCCGGCTGCTGACCAGAACGAGCAGGCGAATGACCAGCCCGTCGAGCATGGCTCGCGTCAGGCGGGGTCGATTCGACGCCAGTGATGCCAGACTCGATCATGACCGAGCGAAGGGCATTATGAGAGAGCGAGCCAAGTCGAGGTACCGCGTTGGATGGCACGCCACTGAGTGCTGGGTTCATCATGGCCATTTCGGCCGGCGTCGGTGTCGAGGGAAACGAGACTGCTCGTTGAAGGGTGAGGCCATGTCCCACACCGCCTGCTGCTCCTCCGGGCGACCGACGGGAAGACATGCTCCGTGCCGTGCCTGGACGTGACGACGCACGCGACGAGCCACGGGACGTCGGCATGGGACGGGCACGTGACGTGAGGTGGTTGCACGTTGGGCGAGGAGCGGCAGTGGGCGTGGTGCGAGCGCAAACTGGGGAGGAACCGGCCGGTCGTGGCGGCGGGCGGCGGGCGGAAAGGGTGCAAGCATGATGAACGAGGCTGCTGTTACCAACATGCTTGATGCATAGAGTCGCGGGTGTGGCCGGGTTTCATCGACACCATATGACTGGTCCTGAGCACTAGCAAGATTGGTGTCGGTTGTGTGGCACGTGGTGGGTGGTGGGTGTTGGCCGTGACGTAAGTCCCGCAAGGCTTTGCCGACGTCAGTTGCGCCTCGGCGTGGGTTTGGGTGGCGAGCGGGTACCACGCAACTTGAATATTGTATTCAATGCCGAGCACATCGACTGTCCTCGCCACGCTGTACGCTGTCGTTTGCATGCCCCACAGCCAAAGGCTAACACATGCCTTACAGTAGCATAACGTAGCCACCGAGTTCGTTCTTGGGCCGCTCTCGTTCACTGCAGGACTGTGCAGCCGACTGGGAGCAGGAACACGCCCCGGTGCGGGGATGCCACAGATATTTTACAACTCACACGATGCGCGAGTTACAGAGCTGTCGTCGCCGCCCTTGCGGTCATGACGAATGCAGCTGTGTTCCAGACAACCACGTTCATTGGCAGTAACTGTGGACAGGATCTCCTCTCTGTTTGACAAGCGGTGTTGACGGCAAGTCGTGTTCCGAGTCGCCGTGCGAGAACGAAAATGGCCACGTCTCAGAGATTGAGAGCTGCCCGTCCGCAATGCCAACGCCGCCGACACATGCCGTGCACCGCTACGAGTACAAAACCGACAACTGCACCGCTGTGGGCAACATCGAGCCCAACGGCATCTCGCTGTACGTGACCTACAGGAACAACTCGTGTGTGCGCACATCGCCGACCAAGTCGGTGCTATTCTCGGCCAACGAGACCGTCGTCATGGAACAGACGTTCAACACCATCAACTGCACCGGCAACGCCATCAAGGAGGAAATCTTCATCGTTGGTGGCTGCCAGACAGTGACTGACGACGGCAGCACGACATCGTACATGGCATACTCGCCGTTCTCGGCGGCCAACAATCCGTCACCGCCGTCGAACACGACAGGCAGCTCGACCTCGCCCGCGATGGTCGCCGTCCCCGCTGCATCGACCGCTTTTGCCACTCTTGCTGCTAGCCTTGGACTCGCGATTCTTCTTGTGTAGCGGGCTCCGTCCGTAGCGAGCTCCGTCCGTGGCGAGCTACATGTGCCATGCTGCACGTCTCCGGATGCGCAACAATAGTGGGGCCGGAGGCTGATGCGCCAAGTAAATCATGTGCACCATCATTTCACATTGAGGAACAAGATCGCAATGAATGTGCATCTGTAGGCGCTTGCAGTAGCGTTGCGGAACTGAACGTGTTGGGGGAGGGGGCTTTGCCGACGTCAGTGGCGCGTCTGCGTGGGTTTGTGTCGCTCTGCCCGCAACACACGTCTTGAATATTTGGATTCAATGTCCCGTATCTCGTCTGTCCTCGCCACGCTGTAAGCTTCTGCCGCTGCCTGACTACCTAGCTGCAACTGTAGTGACCCACGTTGCTGTTGCACAGCATAGCTGTACATGTGCTCTCGTAGACCGCATGCCACCGGCCTAGCAGCGGTGCACGAGGAGGAGGGGGTAAGAAACGACCCGGTGCGGCAAAATTCAGAAAAATTGCAACTCACCCACGCTGGCGCCACAGAGTGGTCGTCGCAGCCCTTGCGGTCATGGTCCATGCCGACTTTTACCGGTATGAGAAGTTTATCGGAGGTGGCTGCTCCAACCAAATCACCACATGGGTGCGGCACTTGACAACGACGTGCTCCGCGACGTTCTGCGAGAACAACTCGGGCAGCTACCTCTCGAACAAACTCGATTGTCCGTCGGCGCTTCCGACGCCTGATGCGCACACGGTCTACAGGTACGAGTACCTCACCACCGACTGCACCGATGCCAACGCCAACAAGCAGGGTACCCAGCTGTTCATGATCCACGCAAACAACACGTGTGTCCAGCAGACGGCCTCGACCTCGGTTCAGTACTTTGCCAACGCCACGGTCGTGATGGAGCACACCTACGACTCGACCGACTGCACCGGGGCTGCCTCGGATGAGAAGGTCTTCATCGTCGGCGGGTGCCACACCAAGACCGGCACGACCAAGTCATACATGGCGTACTCGCCCATCATGGCAGGTGGCAACCCGACGTCGCCGCCGCCGCCGCCGGCGTCCAACTCGACCGGGACCGCGACTTCGGCTGCTGTGGCGGCTGCCCCCACCGCTTCGATCGCCATCGCCGTCTTTGGCGCTGTGATTAGCCTTGCACTTGCCCTTGCGTAAGCAGCCCCCTTTTGTTGGCAGTATTTCCCGCCTTCCGGCGGCGTGTCAATCGCGCGGCTTGATAGCGGTAAACGACATTGCCTGCTTCTGGCTCATGGTCTATGACGATGACCCCACACGTTGAACAGGTAAGAAGAAAGGGACAGTAGTCATCGAAGCCATTGCTCGACGACTCCAGCCGTGCTCCAGCCACTGCGCCATGCTTCGATCTTGCAGCCATGTCGTGTGTGGTACGTGGATCATCCGGGGGTGTGGTCGGCTGTCGTTTGCGGTCAGTCTTCGCAGCTGCAAAGCCACTCACCGCCACACATTCCCCCCCTACTGCAACCATTGGCATTTCACTCGCGCACAGCAACATGCGGAACGTGACCATTACAGCACTTGTGGCACTTGCTCTCCTCGCCGGTGTGGCTATGGGTATGTGAGCGCGACACATTGCGCGCACATAGAGCGGGCACAGCAGGTGGCAATGCATCTGCTTGCCCCTCTGCTTCGCCGTCCATTGAATATTTATTGCCGAGAAAGCCGTCAGCGGGCACACTCACCGATGTGCGAGATGATTCGGGTGGGGAGGGGGACAGGGATGCCGACACGGAGCTATGACTCTTGCATGGCTGTGACCCAGCTGTCGAGCTCGTACAACTACCGGCTGTACTGGAAGTACGTGCAAAGCCCCTTCTCCCCGCGGTGGAGGAGGGCGGGAGGGTGGGAGGGTGGGAGGGTGGTGCGGGAGCGGTTTGGGGGCGCCGTCGGCGAAATTCTGCGGAACTGTGACTCACTCATTCACCATGCGGTATTCACGTGGCGGGCGAGGAGGATAGCCAGCTGAACTCGTCTTCCACGAGCATTTCGATTGCCATGGAGGCGCAGGTTGGTGGATGGGTCGGCTTTGGTGTGGGTGGCGAGCCGACTATGATCGACATCGACACGCAGGTGGGTATGATGGCCGGTGGCGGTGTGGTTGTCGACGGGTACTCGGACGGGCCGAACCAGCCGCCGATGGACACCAACAACGACAACACCAACGTTGCGGTCAAGTATGAGAACGGCATCCTCACTGCCGAGTTTGATCGTGTCCTCAACACCGGCCAGGTCAAGGACAACGTCTGGATTGCCGGCTCCAACTCGATCGTGGCTGCTGTCAACGACGGCACGCCACCCGAGGTCGACTCCGAGTACTCGCGCCACGATGAGGCTGTCCGCTTCCCGGTCGACTTTACCACCACCTCGTCGTGCCCGCCGCCGCCGCCGCCGGCCTCGCCGCCGCCGCCCTCCAACTCGCCGGTGACGACCAACTCGCCAACCGTCTCTGGCTCGGCCTCCGCCGTTCCGATGATGATTCCGGCCGTCCTCGCCGCCATCGCCGCCATTGTTGTGGCCATGGCCTAGTGAGCTGCCCTGTTTCTACTGCACTACTCTGGACGCTTGCTCCAAAGTCGCAGTGATTTTGAATGTGAATGAACGTTGCGCATTCCTTGTATGAGCCATGTGCGCGCACCTGCTGACCTGGCAGTACCTCTGATTTGCGGATGAGTAGCCATTGCCACCCCCCCAAACCCCCCAACCCCCCAACCCCCAACCCCAACCCCAACCCCAACCCCAACCCCAACCCTCATCCGATCACCGTCCTCCTCACCCCAATCCCCCGAATCTGATCACTCCCGCATCCGATCGCCCGCCCCATCGTCCTCGCCCCACAAACTCGGCGCCCACAGCCGCCCACGTCACCCGACCGGACCACTCGGCAGTGGCACCTCTCGCGGCCAGCCCACACTGCACACCATGGCGCTGAACGAAGCTGTGGATGCGTACTTTCCCGGCTACACGCAACGTGTGCTTGAGCTTGCACCAACTCTTGGTGGCCTGGAGTCGTACCTCCGTTCTGCCGTCTTCTGTCTCCCCGGTCGCTTCTCCTCCTCGGAGCTCCTCCTCCAATCTCTGACGACTGTCCTCGACGTGACGGCTCTTCTCCACGATGCCCTCATCACATCGCTCGCCCACACGACACTGCCTCTTCCGACTGGCATCTCAACCTCGACGGCGTCATTCTCGTCATTGTCGTCTTCGTCATCGTCGTCATCGTCATCTTCGGCGGCTATGATTGGTGCGGTGGTCGAGTTTGTCAAGTCGGCCGCGCCGGCGCCGTTGCCGCTGCCTTCAATCGCACTGTTGCTCTCGGCGGTGAGGACGATTCAGGTCTGGGTCGAAGTCCTGGCTACTCGCAAGTTTGGTCAGAGAGCTAGGTGGCTTGTTGTCCTGCTGGTGGAGGTGGCCAAGGCTCTGCTCAAGTTTTGGGCTCTGATCAAGAGCCAGGCTGCGCTCCTCCCGCTCGCCATTCCGCGTATCATCCGCGATCCGGCGCTGCGGTCGGCGGCGGCAAAGGTGGAGGAGGCCGAGGCGGCGGACTCTGCGCGGGTGCGGGTCCGGCAGGTGTTCAAGGACTCGCCGGCGGCGTCGGCCGACTCGCCGGCCACGTTTTCGGCGCTGGTGGGCGATGTGGCCCGAGTTTCGCCGGCCGCGCTCCTCAAGCGGCGGAAGCAGGCGTGGTCGTCTGCGTCGTCGCCGCTGCGGCGCGGCGCCGAGAGCGGGTCGCCGCGTCCGACGCCGCTGGCGCCCGCGCCGCGGACACCGCTCACGCCGCACCTCCTCGCAGGTGAGGTCCTCCATGCCGTTGCGCCTGTTGCGTACGTGGGAGCCATCCTCGCTGCCGGCCACTCGTCGTGGAAGCCGTGGACACTCTCGCTCGTTCTCGAGCTGGCATCGATCGGGCTCTCGTCGACGTCGGTGCTGAAGCTCTCTGCCGGTGAGCGGGCGGAGCTGTGGCGGCGGGCAACGCAGCTGAAGCTGTATGCGGTCAAGACGCCATTCTTCAACAGCGTGACAAGCAGAGCATTTGCGCCGCTGGTGTGGGTGCTGCGCAAGCTCGGGGCTGGGCCGGTCGACGACCTGCTTGCGCTGCCGCAGACGCACTTTTTCTACACCTGCGGCTCGTGATCCGTGTTTAGTGGAGGGTGTGGTCCTCGGGCGAGTAGAACTCGGCGAGAAGGCGGTAGATGTACGACGGATTGTGGACGCCGCGCTCAAAGTTGGAGACAAAGAGGTCGACATGGTCGGGCGGAACGTAATCAAACACCGGGTTGTACACAGTGACAGCGTCGACGATGTCCGACTCCTCAAAGTGGAGGACGGTCTCGGGCGAGTGGTGCATGTTGTGCTCGTCGACGTCGTGCGGAAAGTGCGGGACAAGCTTGTGGAAGCCGGTGACGACCACAAACGGGACCGAGTAGCGCTTGGCGGCGAGCGCGAGAGAGTTGCATCCGGTCAGCCCGATGATGCCGCCGTTGGCCATGACGGCGTGGGCCGGCACAATGACCTTGGACACGGTGGCCATCATGGCAAAGACAGCCGAGTCAGTGATGACGGTGGTGGAGACGCCGGCGGCAGCGAGCTCGGCGGCAAGCTGGTGGCCGGCGAGTGTGGGCGCAGACTCGGCCACAATGACCTCAATCTGCCGCTTCTCCGAGGCCATGATGAGGAACTCGCGGACTGTCCGCGAGTTGCCCAGCGTCATGATGGTCTCGCCCGACGAGATGAACTCGGGCGCCGACTCGGCAATCTGGTCGTGCAGGTTCGCGAGGTCGTCGATGAGCTCGGTGATGATGCCGAGGACGGCCGACTTGATGGAGACGTCGGTCCGGTCAAGCCGCGGCGTGGCGTCCTCGGCCGCGCCGGCGCCTTCCAGCATGTGATGCAGTGCACCGCCGTTGGCCTCCAACCGCGGCGTCATGGCGCCGCCCGAGCGCGGTGAGACCGGTGCCGCCACCATGCGGCCCGAGGTCACCAGCGAGAGCCGGCCATCCGAGTCGGCGCGGTCACTCCCGTCCTCATCGCCCTCGCTCTGGTCCTCCTCGCTCTGGTCCGCAACCGCCGACGCGCGCGCCGCCGCAGCCTCGGCCTCGCGTGCAAGCTCCTCGTCGCGCACAACCACAGCCTTGGCGTACTCTGTCCGGATGATGTGCATGACTCGGCGGACGGTGCACCCGGCCGCCATCTCGACCGGCTGTGACTCCTCCAGCCGCTGGCCGATGTACCGCACGCATTCAAGCAGCTCCTGCGCCGACCGCTTCCCGCCCTCGGCCGAGACCACAGACCGCAGCAGCGAGAGTGTTGTCCGTGCCATCGTGTCCCGGAGCGAGATGTCGTCCAGAGGTGAGCCATCCACGATAACGTCCAAGGGTGAGCCGAGCCGTCCTCCAAGGGTGAGCCGAGCCGTCCACAATGACGTCCAGGGGTGAGCCATCCACGGTGTCGACCAGGATAGAGTCGCCGCCGCGAAGGAAGTCGTCGTCGTCCAGCACAGAACCGTCCACATCGACCAGGTCGCCCACGCCGTGCCCATACCCACGGCCGTGCCCATATCCACGTCCATGACCATACCCACACCCATGACCATACCCACACCCATGACCATACCCATACCCACCATGAGTCCACACCCCTCGGAGCCTTCGACGACGCAGACTCTAATCTCCGCCCTCTCCCCTCTCCCCTCTCCCCCCCCCCACCCCGCCACCCATACTCAAAGCACATATGACACAGAAGACAACAGCGCAGCACCACAAACGTGGGATATAGATGGAACATACCGTCGCTTCAGCTGGGACACTACACCCTCAATGACCTTCTCTAGTGACGTTGCAAAGGTCGCAGACATGGTGGCCAGCGAGTGCGGTGGTGGGCGATGACGGGGATAGACGGCGAGCCAGCAGCCGAGCCAAGCCAAGGGGGGGGGGGGGGGAGGAGCCAAGGGCGAGACACACCGACTGCTGCTGATCTGCTGGCGGAACTCTCTTGAGTGAGCATCTTGATGAGGGGGATGATCATGGGGGGGTAGATCCACCACACACATCATGCATATCAGTGGCCATCGTGTTGGAGTACGCGAGCTCGCTGGTCGGCACAGGCTGCTGCTGATCTGCTGGCAGAACTCTCCCGAGTGAGCATCTTGATGAGGGGGATGATCATGGGGGGTAGATCCACCACACGCATCATGCATATCAGTGGCCATCGTGTTGGAGTACGCGAGCTCGCTGGTCGGCACAGGCTGCTGCTGATCTGCTGGCAGAACTCTCCCGAGTGAGCATCTTGATGAGGGGGATGATCATGGGGGGTAGATCCACCACACACACACACACATACACACACACACACACACACACAAGCCAGTACTCATCGACGGATCCGGCTTGCTGGTTAGCATCAGCTGCCGAGCCGCCACATCACATCCAGCTGCGTCCCTTCACTCCCCATGAAAGATCGGTCAAGATACAGCCATCGGAGCCTATCACAGCAGATCCACACACACATACACACACACACACACACGTCTACATACACACATCCATCATGGGAGTCTGTCATACCCTCCCTGCCGCTGTTGGTGGCCAGGCAGCAGTGGCAACCACCCCCAGTCATCAACTTGATCGCGATCGCGATCGCGATCACGATCGTGATCATGATGACGGTAACCAACGGTCACTGCTCTCCCCCGCTGCAAAGGGGAGGTGGGGAAGCGGGGAGGGAACGACATGCCACGGCGACGACCGTCATCATCCAGTACATCTTCTTCATCATCATCACATGGTCGACCACCGCCTGTTCCGTTGTCAGGACCTCCTCTGCCGTCGTCGTCTCCGCCGCCAAGACGTAGGTCGGCAGCCGCTCGGACAAGGTCATCTCCTGCATCGACATCGTCGTCACCATCTCATAGAGAATCAAGCCATACTCGGCAGCAAGCTGATGATGCTGGTGATGATGATGGTAATGGTGATCATGAGCCAAAGTCACGGGACTTATACCTGGCGTCAGATCCATCGCCCTCGGCTGCCGGCCAAGGCAACAACATTGTGTCCAGGATGAGCGGCAAGACGGTCGAGACGGTGGCGACTGCGGCTGCGCTCATTGCAAAGTGTATCGAGGGCGATGAGCTGGCTGTCAAGAAGATCTTGCTCTCGAGGCCGGATCTGGTCAATGTGTGTGCAACCAATCCTCGGCTGTATGGATCCTTTCCGCTTCACTTTGCTGCTCAGAAGGGTCGCAGCGCTGTTGTTGCCGCCTTGCTCGAGCGTGGTGCGGATGTCCATGCCGTCAACGAGCTCGGCAAGACCGCCCTTCACTTTGCCGCTGCCGAGGCCGGATCGGTTGATGCGTGCAAGGCACTCATTGCCGCGGGCGCAGTGGTCGACGAGCGGACCGGCGACGCCGCGGGAGAGACCGCCGCACACATCGCCGCCAAGGTCGGCAACAGCCCGGTCCTCGACCTGCTGCGTGCCTCGTTTGCCGACGTCACGCTCACCAACGGCTCGGGCCAATCGGTCCTCGACGTCGAGCGGGTGTGGCGGATGGAGCGCGGCTACGCCACGCCCAGCTCGCTCTGGTTCACTGCTCTCGAGCAGGGTGAGCTCGCCACCGTCGCAGGTATGCTCTACTCGGGCGAGGTTCACATCGAGGCGCGGATGGAGGACTTTTTCCACGATGTCACCGGCCTGCTCTTTGTCTCGCTTCTTCTTCGCGACGCTGGGCCCGAGGCCCGTCTGCTCATCGCCGAAGGCGCCAACGTCAACGCCACCGACGAGCGCGGGCGAACGCCGATCATGTACGCCACCCAGCTTGGCAACGTTGCGGTTGTCGAGGCGCTACTTGCCACCGGCGCCGTCGCCATCAATGCCCAGGATGATGCCGGTGCCACCGCTCTCCACCTGGGCTTTTACTACTTTCTCGTTCCATCCATCGCCCGCGCTCTCCTCGCCGCCGGTGCCGACCCACACATCATGTCACAAGGTGCCGCACGGACTACCCCGCTTGAGCTTGCCTTTGATCGCGCTGTGGCCAACGTTGGCTCCGATGGCTCATACGATGAGCTCTGGACCCACGGCGTCGAGCTCCGCGCTGCTTTCGTCCCGTACCAGGCCGAAACACCGAGCTACGAGCGGGCGCTCCTTCTCGGGTCACACTCGGGCGACGCTAGCGTCGCAGCTGCCGTTGGCGCCCGCGCCGCCCGCGCTGCCGTCTTTTGCATCACCTTGCTGGGCATGGCACTGAGCCTGCCCGCACTGCTGCTCGGCGCGGTCTTTTCGCCGCGCGGCCTCACTGCGCCGCTCTCGACCTCGCTCGAAGAGCTCTTTCTCACCCAGGCCTCACAGATCATGGCTCCGGTGTTTGGCCTCCTCGTCGCTGGCGGCCTCCTCTATGGCGTGACCGTTATGCCGGCACTCGCCGAAGGCACTTCGGCCGGCTCGGCGCTCCTCGCCACCTACCTTGTCCTCGGCCTCTTTGCCGTCCTCGGCCTCATCTTTGGCGGCGCACTCTGCGTGCAGATTGCCCGCGACACGACGTTGCGCATGGTCGAGCGCCCGTCGCAGAGCCTCCGGTTCAACGCCATGAACGTGTTCACGCTCTCGCTCATTGCGCTGCAGTTTGTCCAGCTCTGGGGTCTAACCTACGTCGACGGCGTGGTGTTTCCGGCGACAGCTTCGGTCGAGTCGACGCTGCGATCGGTCTCGCTCGGCTCGGTCCTCGTCTCGTCCTCATCGGACGCGCGGACAGCGTTTGAGGCAGCGTTCCTCGCTGCGTTCTCGGCCATTCTGCTGTGGACACTGGCGTCGGCGAACCTGGCGCTAGGCCTCGTCGCCGACTACTCGCTGCATCTCACCGCGCTCTTCCCGAGCCTCGGCTCGGGCTCGGTCGTCGACTACTACCTGCTCGACGTCATCATCCCGCTGCTCTCGTCAGGCGGCTTTCTCCCGTTTGTCCTTGCCCTCCTCCGCGCGCTCAAGTGCACCAAGGTTGCACTCCCGCCAGCTCCGGGCCCGTTTGCCACCTCAGAGCATGTGTTTGTCCTTGACGCGGCGCCGTCGGTCACCTGCTACGCCGGCGATCACACATGGTATACTGCGGCATCGCTCGTCGGCCTCCTCTACTACATACCTTCGGCGCTGCTGCTTGGCGTCATCTTCTTGCGCAGCTACGCCGCGACGACCGACGGGCCGAGCTCGCCGCAGGCATCGGGCATAGCAGCGTTCTTCTCGGGCGGGCTCGATGTCAAGTACGCACCCGTCTTCTCCCTCATCGAGCTCCCCGCACGCGCCCTGGTCGGCGCAGTGCGGATCTTCTACACAGGGCCGCCGGGAGTGTATCTGGCGGTGGTAGGCGCAGTGTACGCGGCGCTCCTTGTCGCCACGCTCATCATCAAGCCGTTCCGCGATGCCAACGACCGTGACGCCGACTCGGGTCCGGTTTCCATCCGCGGTGTCGCTGCCCGGGTCCTCCCGGCCTCGCGTGGCTCGCTGACAAGCACCTCGTTTGGCGGCATGCTCAACCGAGCGCTGGCCGGTCTGTACGCCATCGTCCTCTTCAAGACTGCCGTCAATGCGTGGGCTTCTCGCGTATCGACCGCGGCCAACCCACAGTGGGCGCCGCTTGTAGTCGAATACGTTGTGCTTGTGATCGGCGTCTCGGTCTTTGTCGGGATCGAGGTGTGGCGGCGGGTGAAGGCGAGGCGGACGGCGGCCGAGGCCGCGGCCGAGGCCGAGGCCGAGGCAGCAGCCGGGACAAGCACGCGGGCAACGCGGGCGTACATTGACATCTATGGCCACTCGCCGATTGTGCGAGCCGGCGGCGGCGCCGAGACGCCGTTTGTGCGGATGCGGGCGCCGGCGCTGGCGGACGAGACTGACGACGACTTTGCAGCCCGGGCTGGTGGTGCGCTCATGTCGAGCTCGTTTGACGAGGACGCGGCCCTGACGCGTCGTCTAGAGCTGGTCCGGCTCCCGTCGCAGGGCGGGCGGCTGGAAGACGCCGAGTTTATGGCCATGCAGCAAGTGCTCCAAGAGCAGCTCTCGGTGGCGCAACAAGAGCGCGACCGGGCGAGGGCCAAGCTGGAGCGGGCGCGGGTCGAGGTGGCACGGCTGCGCGAGGCGGCGGCAGCGAGCGAGGCGACGGCGGCAGAGCTCACTGCCGAGGTGGCGCTCTACCGTGACGACGGGCTGCGGAAGCAGCTGGCGTCGACCCGCCAGACGCTGGTCCAGGTCGGCCAGGACTACGAGGAGCTGCGGGTCGAGTTGGAGCGGGCATACGCCGAGGTCGACACCCTGCAAGCTCAGGTTGACGCGCTCTCGACCATTGCCGACCTCGGCAAGGAACGCGGGCGCGACGACGGCGTACTGTACCACGACGACGAGGTGGCCGCCGCGCTGGAGGATGCCAAAATGCGAATCGGCGCGCTGGAGACGCTGCTCGAAGCGAGCCTGGCCGAGCGCGACGAGCTCGGCCGCACCGGTGACGAGCTCGAAGAGCAGCTGGTCCAGGTCAAGCTTCGGCTGGCGCAGAACGAGTTTGAGAAGCAGGGCGCGATGACCGAGGCCCGCCAGGCCAAGCGGCGAGTGCGCCAGCTCGAGGCACGGGTCGCCGAGCTGGAGGCGCTGGTGGCTTCGGGCTTTGAGCTCGTGATCGATGACGGCAGCGGCTAGAGAAGGTCCGGGTTGGCGTTGTGCTCGACGTCGACGACGTCGTCCTCGTCGGAGAGCATGTCGAGGACCGAGTTGAGCGAGGCGGCCTGGTCCGGCGAGACGTCGATAAAATTGTCAGGCATGGTGACCATCTTGACGTCGAGCTCCGGCGGGCCGGCGGGGTAGAGCTCGGCGAGGGCGGCGTGGAGGGCGGTGCCGAGCGGCTTGGACGAGGCTGGCTCGGCAACGACCACCAGCGAGCCGGGCTCGTCGGAGCCGTCCTCACTATCGTTGACCTCGATGTCATCGGCGCCGTTGGAGAGGGCAGCGTCCATGAGAGCGTCGACGATGGCGTCGTCGTGCGGCAGCGGAATGGAGAAGAGCAGGCGGCGATTGAAGAGCCAAGCGGCAGATCCGGCGCCAGCGAGAGCGCCACCGTACTTTGTCAAGCAGTGGCGGACACGAGCTGTTGTCCTGTTCTTGTTGTCGGTCAGAGTCTGGATGAGGAGCGAGACCGGGCCCAGCTGGCCCTCGTACACGCTCTCCGAGCCGGCAGCCGATCTGGAGAGAGCAGCATCGATGGCAGACTGAACATTGGCCTTGGGCACGTTGGCAGCACGAGCACGCGAGACAATGGAAGCCAGTCGAAGGTTCTCTCGAGCATCGCCACCGCCTTCCTTCACAGCAGCCATGATCTCCTTGGACATGCGGTTGAGCAGCGAGCCGCGCTTCTTGTCCACGTCGGCCTTGCGGTGGCGAATGTTGGCCCACTTGGAGTGACCTGCTGCTGCTCCTGCTGATGCCGTCAGCCTCCGCATGCCCATGCATCCACTCGTCACCATAACTGCCGTCCTGAACATAGTGGTCTGCGTGGAGTGGTGGTGGTGAGGGGGATGGGGGTGGGGTGGGGTGGGGTGGGGGAGGGGGGGGGGGTGACTGGGGGGATGGGGCGAGTATGGGGCGATTGGGGGGGAATGGAGTGAGGGAGCGATTGCGGGGGATGGGGTGGGTGAAGGGGTGATCATGGGGGATGGGGTGGGTGAGGGGGTGATCACCTTGTTCAATCGTCTACTACATGCGTACACGCGCAGGAGGGTGAACTCGATCTGGATCTGCCAGAGACCTAGTCGAGAGCACGGTCGAGGGCGACGACTTGGTTCATGGCTGGTGTCGTTGCTGCCATGTCCAGCGGGGTCTTGTCGTTGATGTCCTTGATGAGCAAGTCCGAGGCCAGCGAGAACTCGACGAGCAACGCTGCCGTCGCAACCTGATTGGAGAGAATCGCCACATGCAGCGGCGTGTGGCCCTTGTTGTCCTGTGCCCGCACCGATGCGCCCTTTCCGATGAGAAAAAGCAGCACATCCTCCTGGCCCGTCTGCGCCGCACAGTGCAGTGCCGTAGCCCTGTCGTTCCCAGCCATTACCAGCCCGCATCCCGCCAACCCACCAACCCGCCGATCGATCCGCACCACCATCACCACCAATCCGCATCAACGCCACCGCCACCGCCACCGCCACCGCCACCACCACCGCCACCACCAACCAATCCGCATCAACGCCACCGCCAAGCCAGCCCAATCCGCATCACCATATGAGTCATCCCCTCACCCCACCCCCACCCACCCCCCACCCTCCTCAACCCACAGCATACATGGTATGATCCCGCGCATTGACATCCGAATCCGCCTCAAGCACCAGCTGCTTCACCTCCTCGAGCACGTTGGGCGCGTCGGCCTTGACCAACACAAGCAGCTCCATTACGACGCACACACGCCTGTTACCCACTCGTGCTCAAAAGAGATAATCAAAGACCACACGTCCTTGTCTTTGTCCTTGTTGACGAGGTGAAGTGCCCGGTAGCACCGTCACACCGCCTTGGGCCTGCCGGCAAGCTGTCGGCTGACGGTTGGCCGGCCGAACACACCAGAGTGCGACGGGACGACCAACCATTTGACCGGTGCACCGGACGGCACCGACCAATTTCCACCACACATGCCGCCCCATTCCCCTCCCACACCCACATCACCACGCACACCCACACTGCCCTCCCTTACATCCCTCCCCTTTCTACACATTCCAAACATCCCCCACCACCCCCACCCCCACCCCACCCCGGCACCCCCTTCACGAAGGAAGCGGAAGGGAACACATTTCAAGAAAGGGCACACACTCTCTCGTTCTTCGCCGGGACATCTCCTTCACACTCGCCACAACCAACACACACACACACGCACGCACACACATGTACATCACACTCGCATGCACACTGCCGCTCATGTGCGGCAGAAGGGCGACGGTCGGAGGAAGCTTCCCTGCATTGTCCTCTTTGCGCATCAGGAGAACAAATGCAAGGAGCGCACGGACGGCTGCAGTATTTCAGTTTGACACTTTCAAGGCACACATGGAACCTAGTCAAAAAGCAAGGGCAGATAGGCACACCACCACACGCCTCGGCATCCACACACTCAACTCCATCTCTTCCAACATGTCCATCATTCCGACCCGCTCCCGCCCCCGCCCCCGCTCCCAGAGCGATGCCGACGAGCTTGCCAAGATGAGCGACATTGACATTGTACGTCGTCCTGCTGCTCCCCACCGTCTTCCTCCCCTCATTCCTGCTACTTTGCGCTGCGGCACACAACTCGGCACACAACTCACTCCGCTCCGCGTCTAGATTCGCATGATTGAGGGCAGCGACCTCCGTGAGTACACGACAACAATGGTCGGCAAGCACGCACTTGATCAGCTTCGGCGCCGGGTCGACACTGACTACTACTCGGCTGCAGACTTCCACGACTCGCTCGACCTCGCGAGCTCATCCATGGCCGGCGCCCATGTCGGCTCGCGTCACCCGCAGCTCCTTGTTCCGCTCTACATTGAGGGCTACTTTGTTGGCTGCTTTGTGTACAAGATCAACACGGATTGGGACTGCTTCTCAACGCCACCCCTTGTCGCCACCACGTTCCTCGACGCCGGACAGGCGGCTCGCAACCACCGGACCGCACTCGAGCTCGGCCTCAGTCGCTACAATACCAAGACCTGCGAGTGCAGCATCTGCATTGAGGCCTGTGACGGCTACTACATGTAACCTCGCCTGCCATCTCTGTCCTCTGCCCTCTCAGCCGACCCAGTGTGGAACCAGGACGCGCAACACCATCACCAAACGTAGAAAAAAACAGCAGAAAAACAACCCCTCAAAAGACCCGGCCAACACATCAACTCCCCCCCTCCCTCTCACATCCACCTCTCACAACCATCCTCTCCCCCTCCCCCTACATCATCCCCCTCCCCTCCTTCCATCTCCTCCTCCTCCTCCTCCACCCCCCCCCACACACCCACTCCCCCCGCCTCCACCCACTCCCACCAACCTTCCCAAAAAACCCCCTACCTCTCCCTTTCCCCCCCCGCCCGCCTCTCCCACTTCCCGCCACTCACCGCCTTCCACCCGACTTCCCGCCCCACCACCCCCCCCACCCACCCACCCACCCATTCACCCCACACACCATGGCAAGGGAGACAGTTGGCAGCAACGGGAACCACAAGCAAGTACTCTCCCCAGCCTCCTCGTCAGGTTCGATGAACTCGTCCACACCTCGAAGCCAACTGGCTGGTGTGGCGCCTCCTGCCGCACACCGCCGCGGAGGAAGCACAGGACGAGGAGGAGGAGGAGGTCGACGCGGAGGATGGAACACAGCCGCAGGCCACCCTAATACAGCTGCGGGTGCGGGTGCTGGTCGCAGACGCAAGACGGTGGCGTTCACTGAGGACAATGCCCCGCGGAGAGGTCAGCAAGTAGGACGGTCCGGAGGCCATGGTCACGGTCTCGCCTCGGCATCGACAAGCAAGCTAGCCAGCGTCTCGGACTTTGGCCCTGCTCGGTCTGGTCCGCCTTTGACAACGGCTTCAGCTTCAGTCTCGGGCCATCTTGACGCCTCATCATCCGCTCAAGCTAACAAGCCCGGTGATGAGGCCGAGAGCGCCGCGCCGGGCAACGGCTCGCCTTCGATGGGCAGGCGCTTCCTCTCGGCAGCAAAGTCGACGCTGCAGGCCGGACGCGAGCAGTTTCGGTTCTTTGAAAAGACCGAGGACGGCAACTACAAGTTCATGCGTCCGCGGTGCGAGGCGCCGGGCGTGGGGCTGGAGATACTCATCTACTTTGCCTTTCTCGCCACCTTTACCCTTGTCGTTCTCTACATGCGCGATCCGCTCTTCGCCTTTCAGCACAACGACCTCATGAAGGACTTGTTCCTCGCCGAAGAGGTCCCGGGCATCAAGACGCTCAAGAACTTCTTCTCCATCGTCACCTTTGACGAGTTCTGGGAGTACATGGAAGGCCCGTTTGTCGCCGGCTTACTCGCAGACCAAGGCGCGGGGCCAGGCGTCATGTACGGGACCAATTACCTCGTCGGCGGCGCACGTGTCCGCCAGATCCGCGTCCGCTCCGGCTTGTGCACCGTGCCCAAGGCCTTTCAGTCGTACATCTCGTCGTGCCACGGCCGGTACGCCATCGGCGAAGAGTCGCGCGTGAGCTACGGGCCGGGCAACGTGTGGAGCTACACCTCTGGAGAGGAGCTCGACACCAACCCACAGCTCGCCCGCTGGCGCCGGTATGACGGCGGCGGCTTTGTCCACCACATCGGCGTCACCTCGGTCGCCAACGAGACGGCCCGACTTCAGTTCCTCAAGAACAACGGCTGGCTCGACGCCCAGACCCGCGCCGTCTTTGTCGACTTTTCCACCTACAACCCGAACATCAACCTCTTCTGTGTCGTTCAGCTTCAGTTTGAGTTCCTTCCCTCGGGCGGCATCTACCCCGACTACAAGTTCCGCGTCCTCCGCCTCTACCCCATCCGCGGCGAGGCCGGCAAGTGGTTCCTCGCCGGCGAGATCATGCTCGTCGTCTTTGTCTGCTTCTTTGTTGGCGAGGAGTTTGCCGAGATCTTCCACGACGTCGTCCGCCACCGCAAGTGGCTTCGCTCGCAAAACCGCGTCGCCGACGCCGAGGGCCCGCTCACCCGCGCCGACCGTGTCCGGGCCTTCAAGCACTCGTGGACAAAGTACTGGCGCGACGGCTGGAACTACTTTGACATCCTCAACGTCGTCCTATTCCTCGCCGTCGTCGGCATCCGCATCAAGGCCATCCGCCAGTTTGACGCTCTCAACATCCAGCCTGCCGCGCGCGACTCGTTCTACAACTTTCAGGAGATCGTCTTCTGGGATGCCACAGAGAAGAACATCCTCGCCTGCAACGCCTTTATGCTCTGGTTCAAGATCTTCAAGTACACCTCGTTTGAGCCCAAGATGTCCATGATCGCCCGCGTCTGCGTCCGCGCCTTCCGGCCCATGTTCTTCTTTGTCCTCATGTTCTTCTTTGTCATGTTTGGCTTTGCCCAGGCCGGCTCGCTCGCCTTTGGCTCGGACGTCGAGGGCTTCGACACCCTCGGCCTCACCATCTACACCATGCTCCTTGCCACTCTTGGCCAGTTCGACTTTGACGCCCTTCGCCACTCGAACCGTGTCTTTGGGCCCATCTTCTTCTTCACCTTTGTCATCCTCGTCTTCTTTGTCATTCTCGCTATGTTCCTCGCCATTGTCGACAACGCGTACAACGACGTCGCCCGAGACCTCGCTCGCGCCAAGGAGCCCACCTTTATCCAAAAGACCATGGCATGGGCATCCACCACAGGCCTCGGCCGCAAGCTCGTCAAGACGCTCAATCTCCAGAAGAAGGCCGCCTCGCTCCAGCGCTCCATCCGCCGCGCAGATGTCAACCAAGACGGCCTCCTCGACCGCGAGGAGCTGCTCGAGGTTATGGCCGAGTCACGCGGCTACTTTGACGGCGACGTCGACGAGGTCATGGCAACATACGACCTTGACAACGACAACCAGCTCTCCACCGCCGAGCGCGCCGCCATGGCCTCGGACCTCGTCCGCAAGCAGCACACCGTCGCCCAGAAGATCATCACTCTCCGCGACATCGGCGACTACGAGTTCAACACCCTCTTCGACCTCATCTCAGACCGCGTCGACAAGACCGAGCGCAAGCTGGCCGCCGATATTGAGCGCGTCCTCGGCATGCTCGACCCGTTCAAGGCCCGCGATCTCAAGGCCCGCCGCATGTCGCGCGCCGCCATGGCCACCTCGGCGCCCATCCCGCGCATGCGCTTTGACTCGGACGACAACCTCTCTTCGCCGCACCCGGCCCCCTCCCCCGTCCCGCCCTTTTCCTCCTCGTCCTCCACCTAGCATGCTGGCCATAAACACATCGACAACCACACAAGGACTCTAGATGTTATTGCTACACCACGCTACCAGCCAGCATCGCATCCCTCTGTCCACAGCCCCAAATCGCCTGCACTCGCGCACCACGCCCGTCCGCCTACACACGCCACGCACATTCATCCATGAGTTCCGCATCAGTCACAGCAGCCGCAGCCGCAGCCGCACATACATGCATGTAACCGTGATTACAAGTGTCGGGCAGCGGCCCGCAGCGGCGCCCAGAGCAACACGTGCCCTGGGCTCCTATGACGCAGAGCCACCGCCCTTTCAATCTATCTCATTCTTGACACCCCGCAAGACGTAAAATCGTCCGCAGGCAACACAATGAGAACGCTCTCCCCCCTCTCCCGCTCATTCCGCATCTTTCAAACCCTTTCCTTGCCTCGCATCACAAGCCTTGCAGCTGCAATCACACCGCCACAATCTCGCCCCCTCATGCAAACACAAAAAATATATTAAAAAATCACTCCGTCGCCCTGCCCGAACCGCAACTCGCCGCCATCAGAGGACACTGGCATCCATCCCGGAGCGAGTCCCGGCCACAAGCCACGGCGTGGTGCAAGCCAGAGTCAATACTACCAGGAACAACCCCCCACGCCGTACACAAGCACATCCTTACGGTCACGTACATGTCATTGGTTCTGATCAGTATGGCTGCTACCGGTACTTGCCCTCGGTGGCAAGTCGGCTCCCAGCCGGAGGGGAACCAGCAGCCATGGGTGACTCGCTCCCTCTCCGAAAAAGAGAGTCGAGTGCCAAAGCCAGCGTCGGTGCCACTGCCACTGCTACTGCCACTGCCACAGGCTCACCCTCGCACGGACTCGTTCGCCAAACTCGTCCGGGCTGTGGCCGAAAAGATGATGGCCGTTCTGAGTGCGGTCAAAGTGTTTGCCGGAGCCGATGGTACTGCTGGTGGTGGTGATGTGCTCGCGCAAGTCGCCCAACTGGAAAAGGTGATCAAGTCGATTGGGGGCGAGCGTCATGGATGACGATGATGACAACGACAGGGGCAGCGGCGGCGAGAGCCAGAGCCAGCGCCAGCGCCAGAGCCAGCGCCAGCGCCAGCGCCAGCGCCAGCACCAGGGGCGGTGGTGCGCCCGGTTAAACTGGTTTTACAACGAATGGTCATGACGACGACGACGATGATGACGACCGAGGCAGCAGTGGCGGCGGCGGCGCTCGAGTCGTCGTCGAGGCGATGGTTGAAACGCCCGCCGTGCTTCCAGCGCCTTGGATGCTGGAGAGCGGGTCGTACGCGGGTGTATGCTCTGTCATGTGAAACGGTGACGACGACGATGGAGGCGGCGGCAGCGGCGGCCGCGCTCGAGTCGTCGACAAGACCACGGTCGAGACGCCCGCTGCGCTTTCATCGACCACAATGCTGGAGACCGTGCCGTGCGTGGGCGTGTTGGCGCAACTGGCTGTGCTGTCACCATACTCGGTGTCGCTGACACCGGCCTGCTGCCGCGCCACCGGAAAGCTGCTGCCGACGTCATCAAGCGCTACCGAGTCCATCGTCACACCGTTGTTGCTCGGCTCTTCCAGCTGGAGCGGCATCGACGCGAGCTCGAGCGTCGTGTCTGGCGAGAAAAACTCGTCGTTGGCCTTGGCCTCGACCGCAAGCATGAGCCGGACATCGAGCGCGTTGCCTATCACGATCGCGAGCACGTTGACCGCAAGCCCGCCGAGCACAAAGCCCTGCCGCAGCCGCTTGTCGTCAAAGGTACCGGCCTCGAGGACGAGGGCACACGATCCAAGCACAATCATAGCGAGCCTGTTATGCAGCTCGCGGCCGTAAGGATGCACCTGCACCACGTGCACGAGTGCCACCGCGAGCGACACCGCCGCCGCAGACGCTTTCGAGTCGTCGCCCACAAAGAACGTCATGCACACCACAACAACGAGCTTGCGCCCCATGATGGCTGCCTCAAACCACCACGCCGAAGCAGTGAACCGGCCCACAAGGAACCCGTACCGGAGCACAAACGTGAGCTGATCGAGCTCGGCCCGTCGCCGCTTGAGCACCCACACCACGGCGCTGGGGATCGCCAGCGCGTACGCCACCACCCCTGTGAGTGCGATCGGGAGCAGCGCCCACCACTTGGAATCGTAGCACCGCCGCGCAGTCCTTGCAAGCACCCAGCTGCCAGCCTCGTTGCGCCGGCAGTCAAAGAGCCGAAACGCCGCAGACGACAGCGGGAGATAGAGGAGAACAAGGGTCTGGAACAGCGTCCGCACGTACGCGTTGCCCACCTCGCGCACGCTCTTCCGTCCGAGCCATCCGATGCCGCTGCTTGCAAGCAGCGCAGCGCCGCCCGCTACCAACGCCAGGCACGCCGCCACCGCAATCGGAAGCAGAAGTGTAAGCACCAACTTGATGACCCAGACATCGACTTCGCGCCCAAGCGAGCACTCGGGCGAGGTCAGCTCGAGATTGAGGTTGAACGACGAGATGGCCTCAAAGTACAGCTCTGCCCAGTCGCCCCACTCCAGCTCCAGCTGCCCGTAGATGGCTGAGATCTGCAGCGCGTTGAGCCCGATCATCGCCGCCGCAAACTTATACCGCACGCTGTCCGAGAGGTTGAATCCGAGGAGTATCGCAAGGACCACCGCCACCACCGCCACAATCACCACCATCACCGCAGTGTTTGCCTCGGTCTTGCATCGGTAGCATCGTCCGCGGAGCGAAAAGTAGCCCGCGGCGCACGACGCGCACAGCTGGCCCTCGTACCCGGTCGCGCACATCCCGCTGCCTGAGCACGCCTCGGCCGTCGGGCACGCCAGAAACAGCGCGCTATCGCTGGCGTCGGGGAAAAAGCCCGGCGCCGCCACCGGCCGCGCCGTCCCGCCTACGCACACTCCGCCAGGCGGACACCCCACACACGCCACGTCGCTCTCGCCGCTCTCGCTCCAAAACCCTGGCAGGCAGAAGCACGGCTCCACCGATCCTGCGTTGAGCCCCGTCGTGTTGATCCGCGCCGTGTTGGCAGCGCACTCGGGAATGCCACCGCATGTGTTGAACCCGGCTACAGCACCTGTTCCGGCGTCGCACGCCCGGCACCCGAGCACAACATCGGCCGCGTCTGCCGTTACCAAGCTCTCGACGCCAAATCCGCCGCGACATGCCGTGACGGCCACCTGTCCGCCCACGCTCGCCACAGGCAGCGCGCCTCCGGCCCCACTCACCTCGACCGTGAATGCCACATCCACCGGTACGCTCTCGGCCGACATCGCCCCGAGCCGCACTGCTGGGATCGGCGACGACTCGGTGAACGTCGTCGGCTGCGGCGCCTCCACAATTCCAAGTCCGGATCCCATGCTGGGGAACCTCATTCTGAGCTGCACTCCAGTGTACACCACAGGCTCTCCGAGCCAGTCGCGGGCTCGCACCCGGCCGCTCATTGGTTCGCCAGCCTGCAGGCTTCGACTCGGAGCGCTCGCCCACTCGAGTGCCGCCGGAGGTCCATGGATGGCTGCGCCCGCCATGCCGCCACCAAACACCGCCGGCGCAATCCGGAGCCACGGAAGGCTGTCCGCGCTCTCGCGGCTCGCAGCTCCTGTCCATGACGCCGACGGCGCGCACACAAACACATCCGCCGAGCTGCGCATCGCAACCGGCGTCCGCTGCGCCGCATTACCCGCCCAACGCGAGGAAGTGCCCGAGATCACCACACGTCCGCCGCACACGCTCGCGCCGCCGCCATGCATTCGTGCAACGTTGTCGACAACGCTGACATCGGTCAAGACTAGCGCCGCAGTCGACTCGGGCCCAGGCCCGACGTAGCTGTCCGCACTCGGGTCTGCACGCGGCATGTCTGCTGCCGACTGCAGAATCGCCACCGCTGACGCCACCGCCTCGCTCGCCACCGCAAGCCCGCCGCCCGATCCACCGCTGTTGCCGCGCACGGTCACACCCAACAGTTCGCCGCGACCGGTGGCCGCGACCAAGATTCCACCACCGGCCCCGCCGCCGCTGTTGCCGCGGATCTCGCCACCGGTCACCTTGAGGGTGCTGGTGCCCGAGACGTAGATTCCGCCGCCACCACCGCTACTCGCTGTGTTGCTCTCCACCACTGACTGATGAAGCACAGCCGAGCCGCCGTCGACCACCGCAAGGCCACCGCCGCGCTCACTCGCCGAGCAGCTCGCGATTCGTGAGTGGCTGGCCAGGACCGACGAGCCGACGCCACGACAGGCAATCGCGCCGCCGGCGCCCGTCGTCGATGTCTGCTCGATCGTCGAGTTGTTGACCTCCAGCCGCCCGCCGCTCACGGCAAGCAGCACTCCGCCGAGGCCCTCGTCGACGTACACCTGACCAGGCAGGTTCTCGGTCTTGGACTCGCGAATCGAGACCGAAGTGAGAACCAGCCGAGCGCCGTCGCCTGAGATTCGGATGCCCGGCGACGCCTCGATGCCGTGGCTTCCCTGTCCGAGGCGGGTCAGCTCGACGTCGCGGATCTCGACGTCGCCGCGGGCCTCAACAAACGTCGGCGAGGCCGTGACAAGAAAGAGCACTCCACCGTCACAATCAAACGAGACTGTACCGGGCACCCGTGGCGCGAGCGTGAGCGTCCGCCCAATCGACGCATGTGCCCCGCCGCGACAGCTGTACACCCCAGGCTCCAGCAGCAGTGTGTCACGAACGCAGAGCGAGGTCCGCCGGATGTTGTCGAGGAGACAGAGGAGCGAGAACTTGTCGACGCCACATGCCCGCGACTCGTACACCATGCTGAGCGAGGTCGGTACACGTACAGTTGTCCATGCGTTACGGGTCCGCCCCGGGAACCACGCCACGCCATCCGACGTAGACGACGCCACCACCAGGTCGAGGTCCGAGTCGCCGTCGAGGTCGACCACCCGCACTACTCGCGGCGAGTAGGCCACATACGAGACAAGGAGGAACGGCGCAAAGCTGCCCGCCCCGTCACTGTTGACAAAGTACCCGACGTCGTCGCCGTACTCGGCACACGCAACAATGTCTTGGTCGCCATCAGCGTCGATGTCGGCGCCGGCCACAAAGATCGCGCCGTCGAGGCTTGTCGAGAGCACCGTCTCGCTCCAAGCACTACCGAGCCCATCGAGGTTGTCGTACCACGCCACAGCGTTCTGCCACAGCGAGGCGGCAACGAGGTCGGTATCGTTGTCGCCGTCGAAATCAGCCGCGGCGACCGCAATGCCATGCTGGCCGGTGTAGATGCCCGGCGGAAGGAAGACCGGTGAGCCAAACGAGCCTGCGCCGTCGAGGTTCGGTAACCAGGCGATGAAGGCGTCGCCTCCGCTGGATTCGTACGCCATGGTGACAATGTCGGGCGCGCCAGAGCCGTCGACGTCAGCCACAATGATGTCACCCGGGCCAGGCGAAAGCGTGGCAACTGTGATCGGCGCCGAGAACCGGAGCGCACCGGTCCCGGTTCCGGTGTTGCGAAACCAGGCGACGACGCCCGAGCTCATCGCGCCGGACACAATGTCGAGCAGGGCGTCGCCGTCGAGATCAGCAAGGACAATCGAGCGCGGGTCGCCAAAGTTGGACGCTAGCTCGGCCGTGCTCCATCGCCCGCCTGCACCGTCGACATTGGTGTGGACAAAGATCTTGCTGGCGAGGGTGGCGGTCGAGACAACATCGACGTCACCATCAGCATCGACGTCTGCCACGTCGATGCCACGCACGCCATCGATCGAGAGCGAGATGATGGTGGTGGCGCCAAAGCCGCGGCCGGACGGCAGCTGCCGCGCCCACGCGACCATGTCGATGTTGGACGCCGAGGCGACAATGTCGAGCAGGCCGTCGGCGTCGACGTCTGCCACCACCAAATCCCGAATGCCATCAAAGCCGGTGACAAGCGTGGGTGACACGCTCGGTGTCACCGACGCGTCAGGTGAGTACGATGCAGCCTGTACCGGGTTGTTGCGGAAGAGCCGTAGCTGTGAGTGCGAGTGGGTCGAGCCGATGACAATGTCCGGCCTCGTGTCGCCGTCGACGTCGCCCGTAGCAATTCGGTACATCGGCGCGTAGCGCGAGTCGACCACGTTGGCGCCACCAAACTTGCCGTTCTCGTCGAGAACGTAGAAGACTGCCAGCGTTCCGGCGGTGGTGCACAGGATGACGTCGTCGATCCCGTCGCCGTTCATGTCGACAACAGCCAAGTCGCGTGGCGCGTCATAGAGCGAGGCAATAGTGGTCGGCGGAGCAAAACTACCGTTGCCCGTGTTGCGGAACCAGAGCACCGTGTCGTCGCCGCCGCCCACAGCAGCAAAGTCGGCCAAGCCGTCGCTGTTAAAGTCGCCGACTGCCACTGCTTTTGGCGAGTCGATGTCCGAGTAGACCACCGTGCTTGGCCCAAAGTTCCCGTCGCCAGACCCCAGAGCAAGCACGAGCGTGTCGACAAAGGCGGCAGAAAATACGACGTCGAGCGCGCCATCCTGGTTAAAGTCGCCGAGCCCGACCGACGAAGGCCCGTTAAAGTCGTCGGTGATAGTGATAGCCGACGCAAAGGAGCCCCCTGTCAGCCGTTCGACGAAAAAGACGTCGCCAGATGAGGGGCAGGCAGCGACAAGGTCATCATCGCCATCATTGTCCACGTCACCCAAGACAAAGTCGTCAAAGTCGTTGCAAGCCGTAATGGTGACTGGAGCAGCAAACGCGCCACTACCATCGGTAGACCTCGCCCAAGCGATGAAACCAGACGACGAGCTATCCTGGCCAAACACCACATCGTTCCAACCATCGTCATCCACATCGACGACGGCGACTTTGCGAATCGAGGTAATGCCCGTGACGACGTTGACCGGCGGAGCAAAAGTACCAGCGCCATCAGTATTTTTGTACCACGAAATGGTACCTTCGTCGTCAAAGGCCGCCACGGCATCAAGCCAACCATCGCTGTCAATGAGACCGAGCGCAGCGGCAGTGATGCCATTTCGTCCAGAGTCAATTACCTCGCCGGTGACGGTCAAGTCCGAGACGCACGCGGGCGGTTGACTAGCACGACTCGAGGTAGTGAGAGCAACAAGGAAGACAAGGAGAACGAGTGTGGTGGAGGGCATGTACATGCACTTAGCCATGTTTGGTGTCGAGGGGTGTGAGCAAGAGTGCCGGTGAGCAGGCTGAGGGTGGCAGGTGAGAAGAGTGAGTGGCCTTCAAGCGAAGAGTGGCATATGCCCACCAAAATCCGTGCCGCTGCTCCGTTGCTGGGCGCCGCGCGTGCGCTTGGCGCGACAAATACTGCATAACTTTTTTTTTCTTTTCGCTTGGCTGACGTGGCCACCACAGCGCACACAGGTTGTGTGCTACTCGCCGAGCACCTGCTTGACGGCGCGCATCAGCTCGGATCCGTAGCGGTCGACAATGACTGCAGAAACGAGGGCGACAAACTTCTTGTTGAGGGCGGTCCAAGTGAGCGGACGCGACTGACCTGCGGCGAGGGTGCTGAGCTTAGCCTCGCGCGCGGCGTCGGGGCGGGCTGAGAGAACGCACGCGCGGATGGCGGGGAGCAGCGACTCGATGTCGTCCAGATCGTAGCCATTGGCGAGGAAGAGCGTGGCCAGCTCGTTGACAATCTGGTCGACCAGCGAGGTGAGGCCCATCCACTCGACAACCTCGGCGGTCGGCGCCCAGCCCGGGCCGAGCTGAGGCACGGCATCGGCACGGCCGGCCCGGGTGCTTTCGACAACCGGCGGGAGCGGGAGTGCAGGCAGGCCGTCTTCGGGCCCGACGTAGAACGTGTTGCCCTGCTCTGCCGCCAGTGCCGCCTTGAGCGCCGCGGCCTCGGCTGCCATCCGCTTCTCGGCCACCGTGGGCTCGAACGCCGAGCGGACCGGTATCGCCGCCGGCTGGGCCAGGTCTCCTCCCAGCGCCTGGGGGAGGGCGGAAGCCGCGGCAGCCGCGGCGCGTGTCGCATGGATCTCGGCCTCGATCATGCGCCGCGACACATGTGTGTCCTCCGATCGTCGGCTCTCTTCCTGGGACCTGTACGCCATCTCTGCGGACTTGAGCGCGCGCGCCCGCCCGCTCATGCGCTCGCGTTCACGCTCGCGCTCACGCCTGATACCAAGCTTGAGCCCTGCCTCCATGCCGTTGTTCTCACTGACATCCCGAGGAGGACCAGCCGCTCGCCAGTCGGCCGAATCAAACTTGGCCCCGCGCCGGCCCGAGCCGAACCCGCCGCGCCCGCGTCCGCGCCCGCCAAACGATGACCTGCCTCTACCTCCACCACCACCGCCGCCGCTCCCAAAGCCTGCGCCGTTGCGGGAGCTGTCGCTGCGGGAACGATCGCCAAGGTCAAGAAGCGACGAGGGAGAAATGCTGCTCGATGTGCTACTCAGGCAACCCAACAGCTCCTGGCGCATCAACTGCTGCGACGGGACCTCGGCCTGGGCCTGCTGCAACGCCATCATGCCAAACATCGACGACGTGGCCACAGCTTCTGGCTCCGGCTCGTCCTCGTAATCGCATGCAAAGTCAAAGCCACCAGCAAAATCGTCATCCGAGTCCGGCAGTGGCACAAGTGCCTCGGAGAGGAGGTCCAGCATTTCGTCACCAAATGCCGACGACACCTCGGCCGGTGGCATGGCCAGCGGTACAGAGGCCGCGCCCATCGGCCCAGCGGCCGGTGGCGGCGGCGGAGGCATGGCCATGCTCATTGGCGCAGCGGCGGATGGTGGCGGTGGTGGCGGGCCCGAGGCCACGGCGCTGCGGCCCGGCTTCCTCGGAGCCTTCTTGGCGGGAACACGCGCGCGCGCCGCTGAAGACGACACGCGGGCGTTCGCCATTGGCACAGAAGCAGGCTTGGCCATTGCCTTTGCTTGGGGTGCCTTCTTTCTCTTCTTTTGGGGGGCCTCAATGCTAGGGGCGACAGGTGCCCGCGCTGGGGCCGGAGTCGGAGCCACCGGAGCCGCCGAAGCCGCCCCCTTGATCTCGGTAGGCATAGCGATCTCGCGCGAGTTGGGAGCCGCAAACCTACCCGCCTTCTTGGCAAACGTCTTCTTCTTCTTCTTCAGCATGTGCACCGCTGCCGGCTTGGGCATGGGCTTAGCAACCGCCTTGTCCCGGTTCTTGCTGCCCTTCTTGCCGGAGATGGCGCTCGAGGCGTTCTTCGACGTTTTCCTGCGCCACGAGTCGACCCTTTCCACCCTGCGACTGTTGTGATAGTTGTCGTCGTTGTCACTGAAATCGTCGTCGTTATCTTCCTCGGCCTCCTCGGCAATGTCCTCGCACTCGGTGTTGGAGCCGTGGCCATCATCGCTAAACAAGTTGGCCATGCTGCTGGCCATGCTGCTGGAGCTGGAACTTGAGATCGAGGCAATCGAGGAGTGCCTGTGGCGAGGACGGCCCTGGCGTGATGACGATGAAAAGAGCGAGTCCGAGCCCGAGCCCGAGTCCGAGTCACAGTCGTACCCGTCATACTCGCTGCACTCGCCGCACTCGTCGTACGACTCGCTGTCGGCGAGCTCGGTCAAAGGAGGGGCGGTTGTCATGGGAATGTCGCTCCAGCCGACGTAAGGGATGGCGTCCACGGCGTGGGCGGCAACGAGGGCGGCCATGGTGGGTGCGTTTGCAGCGACGGCAGCTTCGCCCTCGACGCGCTCCTCGACCGCGATGAACGAGGTGTACGGCGAGACAATCGAGTACTTGCAGGAGAGCGCGATGATGTCGGCCTTCTTGGACTTGCGGACAAGCTCGTGGACAAGCTTGTTCTCCGAGTACGAGCCCTCTTCGTAGTCGCGGACCATGGCGCGGGCGGTGAGGGCATGGACCAGGCTGCCCTTGGTAGTAGTGGCCGGGCGGGCCGAGACCCATGTCTCAAAGTACGCGTTTTGACCCTTTGCGCGGAGAAAGACAGAAGCGCAGTAGTCGACAAAGCCATAGACAATGAGCCGCTCGCCGTTGAAGAGGGCGGTGACCTTGGCCGGAGCCTGGAGCGCGCCCTCCTCGGTCTCAGTTGTCTGGCGCCACTCGAGCTCGACGTTGCGCATATCCGGCTGTAGTGCGCGTGCGACGAGCCGCGCCATTCGGCGCGCGTTCTTGGTCATAGTGGCACGGAACGGCGAGCCAACCAGAGTGCTGGTGCCGCCGCCACGGCGAGCAAGCGCGGCTAGAAAGTGTCGGTTCGGCTTGGCCCCCACGCCGACCGTGAACAGCCTCGTGTGGCCTGCGTTGGCGGCTACAAGAGCGCCGAGCGCGTCTTCGCCCACGGCCTGGCCGTCGCTGACAAGCACGATGTTGCGCTGCGCGGCGCGGCCGGTCGAGCTGTCGGTGAGCGCGTAGAGGCCGCGAAGGGCGGCAAAGAGATCGGTACCGCCAAGGTTGGCCTCGCCAGATACCGGCGAATCAAGGTAGGCGAGAGCCTTGCGGAGTGACGTGGCCGAAACCGGAGCCGGGGCCACAAACGCGCGCTCGACAGTGTCGCCAAAACGGACAAGATTAAAGGTGGGGCACGCGAGGCCGGCTGCCGCCCGCTCCACCATGGTAGCCGCAAGCTGGAGCAGCGCGCCTCGGAGCGCGTGCTTGGCGTCAGCGAGCGCAGCCGCGTCCCCCATCGACGCCGACGCGTCGAGGACAAAGATCAGCTCGGCCGAGTCGAGCGGGTCAGTCTCAAACTGCGGATAGAACGAGAGCATGCACGCGCGGTGGCCGGCCTCGTTGACCTCGATCCACATCCGTGGCTCATGCGGCTTCTCAATGCGGACAAGAAGCACAAAGTCGGCACCGCCCATGCCGACAGGCTGACCGACAAGCTCGACCGTGGCCTTGGTCTCGGTCTGCCGTGCCCGAATCGGATGATAGAGCGACTCGAGCCGAGTGATGGCGTACGGCATGTCGAGTGCGAGCTGGACCGTGATCGGAGTGCCACCCGGAGCACCCGAGCCGGCGGCCATAGCCACCGTCGACGTCTTGGACTGAAGGACCCGCGAGAGCGCGGCCGTGGCTGCGGTGCTCGGCGCAATGTGCGCCGGCAGCGAGAACACAATGTCGTCGCCGTCCATGCCGAGCTCCGTCACGTACTTGACCTTGATGAGCACGCTCGCGCCAGGCGGCAAATTGCCGACCGAGACCGTGAACAAGTCGGCCTTCTCCTCCTCCATGAGGTATGCGCCGTGGCCGGCGGCGACGGCCTTGCGGTACTCGCGGCGGGCCTCCTCCTTCTCCTTGACTACGCCGACAACGTGCTTGCCGTTAATAAAGGCCTCAAAGCCGCAGACAGCGCAGCCCTCGTTGAGAGGAAAGACGTAACGCGCCTCGATGGTGTCCGTCGACGGGTTGGTGTACTCTTGCAACAGCAGGATTTCGCCAACAAGGTCGACCATCCGCCCGCGGACATGGACGCCGACGAGCGGGACCGGCGACTCGCCGCCTCCCGACGCGCTCTTGGCGAGGAGGCCAACAGGACCCGGGTCTGGCCCGGCCTTGGAGCCGTGCGGATCCTTCGGGTCCATGCTCGGCGTGTACTCACTGTGGGCGCTGATGACTGAGCGTAGCGCGGCGAGAGAGCCCGGCGCGTCCGAGTCCTCCGATGAATCGTACGACTCGTCCCCGTCCGAGTCCAGCGCGTCCGGGTGCTGCGGCGCGCGCGAGCCAGCCGAGAGCAGAGCCGGTGGCTCGCGCCCGCGCTGCGCCACCTCACCGTAGGCGGTGACCTCGACGAGGTAGTCGAGGCGGACCTGGTCCGTGGCGTAGACCACGTACTCGTCGTCCTCGAACTGGGAGCGCGGATCGGCAAGGACCGACTTGGCCCGGACCGAGTGGTAGCCGGCCGGCGGCGCGACCCATGCTTGCCGCTCGGATGAGACTGGGTAGACTTTGCCGAGCGCAACCGAGTAGACAGCAATGAACCGGGTGCCCCGTGCCGACGGCGAGGCGTAGGCGATAGCAGTCGAGGCGGCGTCGGAAAAATAAAGTCCGGCGCCGAGCCGGCCGACGTCGTACCGCTCGCCGCCGTACCGCTTGACAACCACTGTCGGCAGCTGCAAGCCGCGTGAGAGGATGCCCACAAAGTTTCCAGCTCGCGACCCGTGATAGAGCTGCTGCACGTTTCCGAGGTCGGAGCGGAAGACGGCCGACTCCTCCGGCCGGGCCATCTTGTACATCGAGACGACCTTGATGCGCGTCTGCTTGCCGGCCACCTGCGAGCGGAGGAGCGACTGGGAGACCTGGCGGTAGAGTGGCGATGACGGCACCAGCGGCGTGATGTGTGTGTGTAGCGTGCGGAACTGCGCGTCGACAGCGCCGCGCGAGAAGATGCTGGCGCCGCCGGTTGCCTCGTTGACGACCAGAAGGTCGGCCATGGCGGCAAGGAGCTCGTCAAGTCCGTCAAAGTGCGCGAGCTCGGTAAAGGTCACCCGGTTGAGGGCGGGGAGCGCGTCGTAGAAGCTCGAAACTAGTGCCTGGTAGTCTTGTGGCGCCGTCTGCGGCATGCCAGAGAGAAAGGCGTAGAAGAGCTCAGCAAGGGCGATGCCTGCGGTGCGGACCTGCGACGCCGAGAGCGCGCCCATCGGCGTCTCGATGCCGGCAGCGGTCACCCGCCCGCCGTTGAGGTTGCGCTCGATCCACTCGGTGGCCTCGTCAAAGAGGAGAGTGACGAGCGCTTGGGTTGCGGCTGGCAGCGAAGAGGTCCGCGGCCCGTCGGCGGTGCAGCACAGCGCGGCCGAGGCTGCGACCGCAACCGCCGAGCCAATGACCGCCGAGAGGAGCTCGATCTTGCGGTAGCCCGCAGCTGTGTACTCGTTGAAGAGCCTGACGTAGAGCGCCTTGGCCTCGCCGAGGCTCGCGGGGTAGTACGCCTCGTGGACACCCGGAGCAACACAGGTCCGCGCCGCAATGCCTCCAGCGAGGCCGGAGATGGGCCCGCGATGGACATAGACGCGAACCGCGGCCTGCGCGACGTGAAGCTCGAGGCCGTAGAACATGCCTCCACGCTTGAGCGTGTCCTTGAGCGCCACCACATACTCGTCGCCAAACTCCGGGGCGCCCGGGGCGTTTGGTGGCGCGTACGCCTTGATCCTGGCGAGCATGCCCTGATCAAACTGCGGCTCGTCGACTTGAGTGCCTGCGTCCGGCGTCGATGACGCCGCACCCGGCGGCGGCGGTGGGCTGGGCGGACGCGGTGGAGGCACGGTCTCGTCCATCCGACCCACGGAGACCGCCGGCGCGGCATCGACCGCCACCGCATCGAGGCACAGCACCGCAGGGCCGTCGCATTTGCCATTGCCTGGCTCATACTCGGCCTCGATCCGCTGGGCTGCTTCGCGCGCCCGGATCTTGGCCGGCGTCGGCGTGAACGGCCCGGCCGGCGAGTACGGAGTGGCCGGCGAGCTGGCGACCCCCCTGCCAATCGAGCGGCCGGCAACCGAGCGGAGTGGCGTTTTCAGCGGGTCAAGAGCTCCGCCCCGAGCGCTGGCATCGGTGACTGAGGGAAACGATGCCGTCGGTACCCGCTGTGCCACCCATAGCCCTGCAGCGGTGCGCGGTGAGGAAAGGGAGTGTGAGTGAGCGAGTTTGAAGGCTTTTTTCTGTAAAGCGGTCATGATCGTCACCCTTGATCAGAATGTGATCAGAATGGAAGAAAGCCAGGCAGGCGCAACGGCGGGTTGGTCATGGGCAGGAAGGAGAAAAGGGTGGGACGGTTGTGGGGACATACCAGTGTGTGGTGAGCGTGTGACGACAGTGGTGAACCGTGGCACTGCTCGGCCACCTCCGGAATGGCCTGCCTTGGCTGGCCGGGTCGGCCCGATGTGCACCCGAGAACCGAACATCGAGTGCAGTGGCCGATGGTTGGTGGTTGGTGGTTGGTGGGCGCGGGCCGTGGGCTGCAGGCGCGTCTTTATCAGCGGTCAGGATGGTCAGGCGGCGCAATGGGCGGTAGGCTGCGCGATGGGCATGATCATGCACGCGAAGTGCGGCTCCGCGACGTGCGGCTGCGAGAGGTGCGGCTGCGCGACTCGCTATCATGCGAGCGGTGATGCCGGCGCTTCTTCTTCTCGCTGCTGCCGGACGGCGAAGTAGGCTCGCGGTGGCGGTGCCGGTGCTTGCGCCGAGTTCCATCCGGGGTGTCGGCTGTCGGTGTCCGCTGCCTCCGGCTCTGGCTCTGACTCTGGCCCCGACTCTGGCCCCGACTCTGGCCCCGACTCTGGCTCTGGCTCTGGCTCTTGATCTGACTCAAGCTCTGGCTGGTGGCTTCAGGCGCAGCTGCCGCCGCAACGCGACCGTCACCCGACGCCGATGCCGACTGATGTCGTCGGCTCCGGCTCTGGCTCTGGCTCTGGCTCTGGCTCTGGCTCTGGCTCTGGCTCTGGCTCTTGGCCTTGGCCTTGACCTTGGCCTTGACCTTGGCCTTGACCTTGGCCTTGGCCTTGACCTTGGCCTTGACCTTGGACTTGGACTTGGCCTTGCTCTTAGGCCGAGGCTGGGTGCGGGTTTCGGGCGCACGCTGGGACTGCGGACGACGGACCGGGGTGAAGACGAGCGGGCGGATAGGACGGAGCGGGTGGACGCGAGACTTGGCGCGGGCGAGGGCAAGCGGCGACGGCGTGCCCTCGATGCGGCGGGTAGCAGCCAGGAGTGTCTCCTGAACGCGAACGGGAAACAGGCGGGCAAAGGCGTCGATGAGGAGGGGATGGGCCAAGAGCTGAGAGGCGAGCGGGCGCTTGGCTGGCTCGACAGCAAGCAGCGAGAGCGCAATGTCCGAGAGCGCCGGGTGGTAGAGCGCCGGGTCGAGCGGAGCCACGTCGACCTTGACAATGTTGTCGACGAGCGAGCGGTAGCCATTGTACCCATTGCCAAAGGCCGAGATGCCCGAATTGGCCATCTCGTACAAGATGCAGCCGACCGACCACATGTCTGCAGCCTTGGAGTAGTGCTCGCCGGTGATGACTTCGGGCGCCATGTAGAGAAACGTGCCCTGCGCCTTGGACTGGCCCTCGAGGTTTGTGCGCGCGTCGAGGCCCGGGGCGTGGACCTGCTCGGCAAGGCCAAAGTCACCGATGCGGACCCGGAGGCCGAGCGGATCGTCGATGAGGAACACGTTCTCCGACTTGAGGTCGCGGTGGAGGACCCCGTTGGCGTGCATAAACTCGACCGCAAGCAGGATCTGCAGCAAGTGCACAAGCACCTTGTCCTGCGCCCACTTGCCAGCGCCAGTGCCTGCTTCTGCGTCGAGCTCGTCCTTGAGCGTTCCGTCACCACAGTACTCGAGGACCATGTGCATGACGTCGGCCGACGGCTCGTAGACGGCGTCAAAGTACGAGACAATGCACGGATGCGACGCAACCTTGGCCGTGAGCTTGACCTCATCGACCACATTGTCCAGCGAGCTCTGGACGTCGACCAGTTGCTTGACCGCATACGCCGTCCGCTGCGGGTCTGAGCCGCGGGCGCAGAGGACCCGCGCAAACGCACCCTCGCCGATCACCCGCTCCAGCGTGTACCGGGTGTTGGAGAGCGAGGCCGAGAACGCAAAGCCGAGGTCCGGCACAGGCGCACGCGCCTCGCCGCCGTCGGTCGTCGATTCGGACGAGACGTACGAGTCGGACTGCCCGCCACTCCCGCTCCCGCTCCTCCCGCTTGCCGTGCTCCCGCGCGGCGTTTCGTCCATCAGCGCAAGCAGCCGCTCCGAGTCGGTCGAGACCAGTGGCGAGGCCGGCGAGGTCGAGAGTACGCGCTTCAGCTGCGACGGCGCGAGCCGCTCCAGCGGTGCCGCCTTGGGCGTCAGACACTTGGCCGTCGCACGGTCGAAGAGCTCGGTCATGTACTGCGACTTGGCCCGCTTCCGCAGCAGCTGCGACCGTCTCAGCGACTGTCGCGCCTGCAGCTTGACATGCTCCTCCATCAGCTTGCGGTGCTTGGAAAGGAGGCTCGAAGGCGTGCCCGCCGTCGTGCCCTGACCCCCGACCGCCTGACCTTCCTCGCTTCCGGTCTTGCTCTTGCTCTTGCTCTTGCTCTTGCTCTGACCGCCGCCGCCGCTGCCGCCGCCTGTTCTCCCATCGGCCGCCAGTCTCGCCTCACGCCTCTGAACCAGCAGAGCGTGCTCCTCCTGCAGCTTGCGAAGCTTGTCCCTTGCCGACAAGACCGACTGCTTGCCTGGTGATGGTGACATTGCCGCGGCGGCATGACCCGCACCACCTCGCCGAGCAGCCCTATCCTGGGAAAACCCCTTGACATCACCACCTGCATGCGAGTGGCGACCAGCCGAATGTCCACCACTTTGCGAGCCTGCGCTCTTCCCCGTGCGTCGTCCCCCTGTCGTCATTGCCGTGCCCGTGCCCGGGCCCGTGGCCGACTCCCTGGTCGTGCCCGGGCCCGTGGCCGACTCCCTGGTCGTGGCCGTCGTCGTCTCCCGCAGGTGGTCTCCGCCACCACGTACATGGAGGTCATCGACAGACTCGTCCGAGGCCGAGTAGTACGAGTAGCTCATAGAGAGTGTGGGGGGGGGGGGATTGCCTCAAAAAGTCGCATCGGGGAGGGGGGGGGTGGAGTGTGCTTTGCAAAGGAAGGCGGGGGGTGATGGCGGTCGGCTGGGGCTGTCCGAGTGGCTTGGCAGCGGGAGAAACTGGGCAGCCATTTACCACCGATGACAGCAATAGACACCGGTGGGGAGAGGAGAGGGGGGGGGGGGGGAGGGGTCGGGCCATCTACTCGCACAACCGCTTCCACTTCCCACTCCCCGCTTCTCACTGCCCACTCCTAGGCCGCTCCCAGATAACATAGATCATCGACTTAAGTCTCGGGAGAATGACGAGGAGGAGGAGGAGGAGGAGGAAGTGTCGCGGCGGGAGGTCGGGCCGAGGGTGGCTGCAGACGGCGAGATGCTGGCGGCAAGCGTGCCAGGCAGGATCGGGCCGAGCGCGATAGAGGAGCACGAGCATGTCGATGCGGAGCGAGGGCGGCGGGGCTTGATGCGGGCGACAACCGACGACCTGAGGTGGAGCGAATGAACAGCAGCATACTCAACGACGACGCCGACTCGGAGAGCGGCAAGAGCAGCGGTGGTGTCGGAGGCGTTGTCGGCGGAGAAGCCCGAGCCCAAACCCAAGAGCGGCGGTTGTGACGGAGTCGGCCACGGCCCGTGGACGACAAAGTACGTCTTGGTCGTATTGCGGTGCTCGATGACGATGGGGAAGGGTCGGGCGAGGGTGAGGAGACTGCGGCGCGGGCGGCGGGCAGGTCGACAATGAACAGCGGGACCGAGCACCGCAACCGCGGCACGTTTTGGTGGATTTGGATGGGCGCCTGCGGGCGGCGGTGCTTGCAGAGCATGATGGCGACGACGACGATAAAGACAAGGAGAGTGAGGACAACGAGGACAAAGATGTTGGAGAGCGTCGTCGAGCCGCTGTAGGTCGACGGCGGCGAGGCTCCAGTGTAGCCCGAGGTCGAGATCGGCGTCACCGTGTCACAGAGGATGCCGTAGTACCCGGGCTGGCAGAGGCACCGCTGCGAGCCAAGGTCGCACGTCCCGTTGACGCACGCCAGGTTGCAGGTGCAGGCCTCAGCGACAAAGACCGTCGACGACGCCGGCGTCGGAACCGCCCGCGAACACGCTTTGCACGCCGGCAGACTCACCACGTCCATGCCAAAAGTGGAGCACGTCTCCAGCGCCCGCTGCATCGTCCGCAGCTCGGCAGCCCCGGCGTCTTCCAGGAACACGTCATGGCTAGTGGTAAAGTCGCCTGGGCACTTGCACAGGTCGGCGGTGGCGCACGCCGGCCGCGGGTCCGGCGCCGACAGCGTGTCGCACCGCGGGCCTGAGAACGGCGCACTGCACTCGCACGCGTACGTCCCATTGGCGCCTGCCACACACGCCCCGTTGCCCGAGCATGCGCGCGGACACGGCGAAAAGGCGACCGCAGCCTCGATGCCCTTGCCCACAACGTAGGGATCTGAGTGAAAGTGGAGGAAGAGCGCGTTGGACGACGAGTAGACGACCGGCGGAAGCGAGACATTGTTTGTCTGCGCAAAGGCAAGAGCAAGAGGTGCCTCCTTGTCCTGGCCATCATGAACGTAGAGAAAGTCCCAACCACATTCTGTCAAGACGGAATCAAAGGCGAGAGCAATGTGCGGAGCTGACGACGGAGCATTGATGCGATAGTAGTACTCGGTCAGCTCCGAGTACTCTTCCCCAGCAGCCGGAATGCGAAAGGTGCCACTCACATTGACATCCACACGAATCTCATCATACACCGGTACGTTTTGTTCTTGCGCCACCACCACAGTTCCCACCAGTCCCACCAAGACCATCAACATGCCGACGACCACCACCGCCACCAGTCCCGACATGGCCATCAGAGGTGAGCAGAGTACAGAGAGTAGAGAGAGCACGGGCACGGGCACTTCTACCACCAACCGACGAGGTAGAGTACAGAGGATAAGGAGGGGTTGTTGAAGTGTTTGCGTCTGTGTGTGTGTGTGTGTGTGTGTGTGT